ATGTATATATGCGATTACCTAACTAGATCATCAGATTCCAGAAAACAGCTACTCATATAATGCCTTTTGCATTGTTAATACATAGTAGGTCTTTAATACATTTCTCAAACTGTAAAAAGTTATATCTGTTTGCATGGCCTCTGAGAGCCAAACAAGGCCAGGTTACAGATAGACGGTAGGTAGTTTTGAAAGCATACTTTTTCATTTGGTCATTATTGAGTAATGTAAGACCATGCCAAACAAGTTTTCTGTCTGCTTGCTAGTGCTTTCTAATGCTTTACTGGAAAGTCCAAACAGATGGACAAATCTGGAACGACTTAGTAGTTGCTTTGGTGTGCTGTGGGATATCTAGGGAACACTTAAGACTTGTTTTGCCTTTTATTTATTGCTTTGTTTAAGGTTTCTTAACAGAAAGACTCTGGGTCATGAGGAAATGCAACAGTGGAGGTGAGAAGGTAATAAAGAGGTACTTCAGATTTGCATTTTCTTTAAGAGATTTTCATCTCTAGAGCCAAGACTTGTAATTTTGGTGAAAGATTGGTGCCTGGCCAAAAATGCCTGTGAAATAGCTATGATTTAAGCTTTAACTATAAAGAAAGGTGGGGTGGGTGATTTTAACAAGTGTTGTCTTCTTTATTCATGCTTTCTATTGTCACTGTCTTACCAAATATGAATAAAAATAAATGCTTTTGTTAAAAAGCATATGTACATATGTATATTTATATAATGTCTATGTGGATATGGGTATATACAGGTGTCCCCAAAATTGTATACATACTTTAACAGTTGATAGCTCAATTTTGAAAATGAAATGTATTTTAATAAACACTGCCTTTATAACTATTCAAAGTGTGTGTATACATTTTTGGGGACACGCTATCTATGTGTGTGCATATGCATATATATCTCCTTGCAGTTATCCTTATCTATATGAAGGTATTTTATTTTAGAAAATGATTTGACAGGAGGCCAGACTATCCGCTTATTTCTAGGAAAAACATTCCTTGCCCTGTGGTGAATCAGAATTGCATTAACAACTGGTATGCATTTTCAGTACCATATTATTGTATAATGCACCTGATGCTACAATTGAGGAGATTAAAGAAATATAGAGTATAGTGGGGTGGGTGAGGACCTTCTATACACACAGGACAGGGAAGGCTTTAGTTAAATAATGAGAATTTTTTTTTTTTACTACAAATATATGTTAAAATTTTATTTGTAAATATATAGTATATAACAGTAAATTGTGGAACATATAAGAATTGTGTTCATCTGAAGAAGCAGTTTTATGCTTATGAAAACCTACATTGTAAAGTGGAGATTGGAATATCTAATTGTTGGGAAAATGGAGGCAGCTAGTGAAAGATTGGATATTAAGACTGTTATTTGTGACTTGGCCTTGTTTTGGCTCTCAGAGGTCATGCTGACTCTTAGATTAGAAATGCAGCCTCTTTCAAAGCATAAACCTAAATTGAAAGTAATAATTTTAAAATTTGCTTTCTCGGGTGCTCCACTTTGTTTCCTTCAGGTGGAAAAGCATGAGTACTCTATTTTCAGGAGGATGAGGAAAACCTTTTATTTCCCTTTCTTCTAGTAGTGTGGCCATTTTTGTTGTTGTTTCTGGTTCCATAAATGGAGAAGCATCTTTACCGTGCCTTGTATCATGCCCAGCAATGTTTTTTTTAATTTGAATGTAATTGTTCCTTAGCAAATAATTGCGGTCTGGAATGAATTTTATTGAGCTTGATTGAATTAGGGTTATGTATGAAAATGAGTTAGTTAAAGCTTAATTTATTACCCAGAGAATTGATGAAAACATCAGAAAAGCAGTCATTCATGGGGATTAAATATTATTCCATGTAAGTGGGCAACCTGGTTGCCTTGGAGTCCCTTCTGCACTGACTAGGTAGTTGTGACATCAGGGTGCAAAACATACAGTGTTGGCATAGAAGGGGATTTTGCCATGATGTGACTTTGAATGTTGTATTGGACATTAGCTCTAATTGGAAGTCTGCCTCATTGTAAGAAGTACCGTATTTGCCGGCGTATAAGACGATTTTTTGGCCCTGAAAATATGCCTCCAAGTGGGGGGTCGTCTTATACGCCAGGTACACTTCAGATAGACTGCCCATAGTGCTTGCCCCGTGCCATAGTGGCCTCCCGATGCCCGCCCACTTCATTCCACATACCGTTCAGGCATCAGCAGCTCTGCTGGGTGTATGCTCGGCTGTTATGCGATTTT